AAGATGACGGTGAAGGTGGTCACTGTCCTGCAGGGGTCAACAATAAATTCACAGCTTGTATTGCTTGCCCGTCTGGCTCGGCCTGCGGCGTGACTGGCGATCCCAAAGTTGAAGAGGTGGGAGCCAAAATAAAACAAAGCAAAAACACAGGTAAGACTCAAATGGCAGCACCCTAAGACGCCCTAATGAAGCCTGAGTGATTGCTTTACTATTACTCAAGCACAAATAAACTATAGATTCAGTCTTGCAGACAGCACACACACAGCACAGAATGTAGCCCACTTATTCCAACAGAATGCTCTTTTCCTAAATGTGATCTTGATAAGGTGAAGAACCAGAAGCGAGTCGAGCTAAGTTCAGTGCCAGCAGAACATGATGTATCTGAGGAGGGGCACCGCTCAGAATACTGCTGCAACTGCTGCCATTGGGTGAATGCAGTCAGCCAGGGGAACGTGGCGTTACCTTGTCCTTAACCGCAGCACATTAGAGCCAGTGCACAGTGCTGCAAATGCTCAAACAATGTAAACAACAGCCAACGCTACCAGCATGATTCTTTTTTTTTCTACTCCTGAATTTTTCTTCGGTAAAAATACTGAGAGCAACAGCACTGACATTCTGCTGACATCACATATTCAACAAAATACTTTTTTTTCCCCCCCCCCCAGTTGGAATCTCACCAAATATTTTTATCACTCTTGGGACAATAAAAGGATTTAGTGGGAGCGTTTCTCCCTCACTGAGAAACACTTTTGTTGTTTCAGTTTATGAGCACGCTGACTCGTCCCTATTTATGGAAGGATTTACACACATACTTAACTCCAGATAGGTTCTTTAATCAATCCTCATTCAGCAAAACCCTCGCTGGGACATGTACTAAAGCAACTTTGCAGACTGGGACCAATACACACACATAGATTTGCATGTGTTTCAGAGCCATCTCAGACTATCTCAGGCTTTTAGGGGAAAAGCAGAAAGCATTCAGCATTGCCCTCTGTGTTTGCAGGGGGATCAAAAAGGAATTACAGTCATAGATCCAGTTTCTGCCTTTCTACAAAAGTCGGGAGACTGCAAAGTTTCTTCCATTTAGAATCATCCATCATCAATCAGCTAAGCCAAAACTGTGTAAAAAACTTCAGTTCTTAAAAAATGCAAACCACCGAACAAGATGAGCATATGACATCAGATTCCAAAATGCTGTGCCTCTACCCGAGTAAAACCAAATAGGATCGGGATTTCTGGCTTGCAAGCTCAGGCTGAGCAAAGCATCCAACTTCCTACGGAGTACTCACTGGATATACAGCACGTCGTTTCAGCGAACTGCAGCATTTACCTGTGCCAAGCCTGTCAGACTGCTGCTTCTTCAGCTAATTGTGTTGGTATTTGTTACAGCAGAGTCGGTACCCTACCTCCGAGGAGACCTACAGCTCCATCTGCCACCCGAGCCGTGCAGTCCCCACCCCAGCCCAGTGTGCCCACCAGGCAGCCCGACCGCTGCCACGCAGCCCCGCACCCAGCCAGCGCTGCAGCCCCTCCGCAATTCTGACACGCGTTTCCTTTAAGCCCCGCTGCAGTTCTTCATCGCGTTTCCCCTCAATTAGCACCACAACAAGAGCCAGCACTGCACGAGCAATGACAACGACAGTCCTCGCTGCCCTGTACTCAGACGTGCTGCTGAACTTCAGCACGGGGAGAATCAGGCCTTCGTTTTGCTCTGCGAGGCACGGCACTGAGACCATTACTTTCGCATCCTAATGTTTAAATCAGCAGTTGCTTTTCAGGTGAGCACATTTAACGTCTATTTTCTTAATTAAGATGAAACTAGGCCACTGGATCTATTACATAAAAATTTTGGTGAAGTGAAATTCCAGGCCTCTTGTAAATGTCTCTTAAAACAAGACCGGTTCCTTCAGCCTCCCTAAGTAAATCAGACCAGGCCAGGGAGAAGAGCTGCGCCTTGCAGGAAGTCTCTTAACTACGCACAAACGGCCTTTTCCAAGTAACCGTTTTGCAGTGCTCTGTCACACGGCTGAACTGCCTCTCCATGGAGCACCAGCAGCACCGGGCACGCAGTGGCAGCTCGACAGCAGCCGTGCTGTGAGCGCTCACCTTCTGCTGCCGCTCCTCTTCACGGGCTGCCCTCCTTCCAGCCCCCTCGGCACGCAGAGGCAGGACGTTCCCCCCAGAGGCAAGCAGCCCGGGCACAGAGAGCCGGCCAGCACGGCCCACGGGCTGCCTGGGAGCTCCGGTGCTGCACCGTGCCGGCAACTTCTCACCAGCGAGACGTGAAACGCTCCGGGCTGCGCTCTGTAGCAGGGTGGATGCACGTGCGGTTAGCAATGGGAGTAATTCACCGCTCCTGCACGTGGCTAAGGCGGCTCCTCCAGGGGGCAAAACTCCCACGGTGCTTTTTGCCGTAAAAAGATGTTGGGAAAACGATGGCTGCAGGCAGCGGATCAGCGCCTGAGCTCTGCTACTCTGCTCTGTGCCTGGCCGGGGTCCAACAAGCGGAGCTACCCCAGATACACACCGTGTGCGCGGCTCACAAGCAGCCCCTGGAGCCGCTCCAGGCCCGCGGCATTAGGACTGAGCACCAGATTGGGCGCCTGTGTGTGCGGGCAGCGGGGGGGGAAGGCCGGCATGAGATCCTCAGCTCGGCGCTCCTGGAGGGCGGCACGCAGCGCCGAGCTGCGCTGCCTGCTCTGTCACGGCGTTACGCCGTCTGGGGCGGAAAGTTTCCCACTCTATTACTCTGCCGTATTTCAACGAGCACGAATGCAAAATAAAGTAAATCAGAATACCGGCAACGAGTCGTTTGCCGCTAAGAAAATCTTTATATCGTACGCCCCTCGGGTTTTTTAACCGAGGGAGAAGGAAGCCAGCCGTTCCCCAACGCAGGAGCTCCTCGCTCAGTCACGCAGCGCCGGGCATTCCCAGCGGTAACGGCACGGCTGGGTGCGGGACGGCCCCGCGGCCTACAGCGGCCGGGCGGGGAGAGGGGAGCGGCGGCAAAGTTTTCGCGAGCCCGCAGCCCCCCGAGCGCCGCCGCCCGTTCCTCCCGCGCCCCGCACGCGGCACGGGGGCGGCGGGGCGCACGGCGCGCGCACACCTGAGCGGCCGGGGCCGTCTGTTGCCATGGCAGCGCGCTCTCATCGCGCGGCGGAGCGGGGCCGGGCGGGTTCCGGCGACGAGGGGCTGCGAGGAGAGCCCGGGACCGCGCGGGGGAAGGGCCGGAGGCGCGGCGCGGCGATCCCGCGGCGGAAGGGCTCGAAAGCGAAATTAAAAGCCCTCGGCGTGCCGCTGCACGGACGCGCAGCCCCGCGGCGCTCTGCCCGCGCGCGGAGGGGCTCCCGGCACGGCGCGGCTCGGGGCGTCCCCTCTCCCGGCTCGGCACGGGGTGCCCCCCGCCCGGCTCGGCACGGCTGCCCGCGGAGCGCCTGCTGTGCGGCCAACGGCGCTCAAACAGCCGCGGCTCCCCGCGCCGCACGGCGCATTATATAACGGCTTCCGACTCGCTCGCTCCTCCGTTAGCGCTCGGCGGTAATTCCTCCTCTGCTCGCGCTCCCCGCTCCGTCACGTTATTATCGCTATCGCAGCGGGCGCTGACGTTTCCCAGCGCCTTTAATTCAGACTTCGCTACCCCCAGGAATCGCGCTCGCGGATCGCGGCCCTACCGGGGCTGCCGGGGGAGGAGGAGGAGGGGATATCGAACAACACCGACCCGACCCCGAGCTCCGGTCGGCGCCGGGGCCGAGCGGCGCTGCCCCGCGGCCCTCCCACCCGCGCTCCCCCGGCGGCGGTACCGGGCGTTGTCCGCGGGCGGCCTGGGCCCCGGGAGCGGCGGCGCGGGGTGGCCGGCGGGCACGGCCCCGTCCCAGCGCCGCCTCCTCCTCCGCCAGCCGCTCGCTTCATTCACCCTCAGCGGCCGCCCAGCCCCTACTACATGCGCCGTGCGGCCGGGCCGCGGCCCCCCCGCTCCCACACACGCACACACACACACATACACACACACACACGCACAGGCGCCGTGTCAGCACCCCGTCACGCACCGCACCGCCACACACACACACACACACACACACACAAACACACACCCCGCAAAATGTCCACCGCGGACACCGGCACCCTGCCGGCGGGGTGAGGAAGAAGAAACGAGGAGGAGGAGCGGAAGGGCCGTACGAGCCCCGGGCCCAGGCCGCTGCCCTCGGCCATGTCGTGGCCCCCGCCCGGGCCGGGCCCTGAGGCTGGGCCGCAGCGCTGCCCCCCCCGCACACACACACACACACACACACGCACACGCACAGCCGCCCCCGGCCCCGTGTTTTTCCAGCCGGGAACCGCGGGTGGCTCCGCAGCCCAAACAAGGGGAGAAGCCGGGGGAGGAGGAGGAGGAGAAGAAGGAGGAGGAGGAGGAGCGGGGGGGGCAGAAAGCAGAGGAGGAAGAAAAAGGCACTTACTGTAAAGTGTCAGTGGAGGTGGGGCTGGCGGGGGGGTCGGACCGAGACTCGCGCACCGCCGTCCTCCCGGGGCGGGGGTCTGTGTGTGTGTGTGTGTGTAAATGTGTGTGTGTAAATATGTGTGTGTGTATGTGGGCTCCTTCCCCCGCGGGTACACGCTGCGGGCTGCTCCGGCGCTGTAGTAGAAATGATGTCTGCGGTACAGCGCTCGCTGCCGCTCCGCTCTCCAGTATGTAAATGTGTAATAGAAGCCAAATATGGAGCAGTTGGCTGCCTCTGCAACAGCTCAAGGATCCTACTTCACGCGAAAGCGGGGGGGGGGGGAGGGGGGGGGGGGGGCGGGGGGGGGGGGGGGGGGGGGGGGGGGGGGGGGGAGGAGGAGGAGGAGGAGGAGGAGGAGGAGGCAAGGCAGCACTCTGGCAGGCGGCCAAGAGAGCCACACAGATTATTGCATACGCGCAGCACCGCCGGGGCCGGCGGCCTTAACCCTTTGGGGGCCGCCCGGGGCCGAGCCGCCTTCCTCCCCCCTCTGCGCTCCCCCCGCCCGGCCGCTCCTCGCCCCGACGCCCGCAGCGCCGGGAGCCGCACCGGCGGGCACCGGGAGCGGCGCGCTGCCGAGCGGGGAGAGGAGAGCGGGCTGGCCGTGCGGGATGCGGGAGCGCCGGCCGAGGCCGGGCTGTCGCTAAGGGAGGAAATAAACGCGCGCCAGGGAGCCGGGGACGGCTCGGAGGCAGCGCCGTGAGAGTCAGGGGAGGGGTGATTTTATTTAAGATGCCATATTGCGCTTTGCCGTGGAGAGCTGTGAAGCTTTGTAGAACAGGAGCCCGCATCCCACTCCCGTTTTCTGAATTAGTTTTATTTTTCCGGATCCTTGGCATATGCTCGAGTCGCTTTGTAGAGAGTACCTTCCACTTCATTCAGACCAAAGAGGCTCTGACTCATTCCGTCGCCGCACTACGAGGCAGGCAGGGCTGCACCACGCATGTTTGGGTACTCGCTCCCGCTGCGCTCCTCGCACACGCTCCGGCAGGATCCTCGCTCGTCTCTCCCGGCTGCGCGCAGACCACTGCCCGCCTCTCCCAGAATAAATGAATGGGAGGAACACAGCCACAGGACAGCGTCTGCTCTGCTTGCTGGCAACCCGACTGCCGCACAGGGAACCGCTCGCTCTGCTTCGGCATTAAGAAGGGAGGCACGACGCCGAGAAAGCCTCTCCCCATCCCAAAGTCACCGCACGAAATGCTGCATAAACCCCCACGGCTGGGTCTCACCCCAGAAGGGCTCCGAGAGCGCCCTGCACGCTCCCTGTGCTGTGGCTGCCCAGAGCAGGCTGTTGGCTGAGCCTCTTCCAATCCACCCCAGCACAGCTGTGAGCTCCAAGCAGATGTCTGTAGTGCAGATGTGTCATGTGTGTGTCCACAGGTAGTACTACTGTGTTTTAGCATTGGAACTAGCATTAGTCTGGATGCAAAAGACCCTAGGGCTCTGTCAGTATGCAGCTCAGCAAAGCAGTCCCTTCTATGAATGACTGTACTCATCCTCCGTATTTCCTAGAGAATGTGCTAATCTGCACAGCTCTTGACTGAGAGCTGGTATCGTCATATAGACTGGCTTTATGAGCATAAGGATATTGTAACAATGCAACTTCTACCTCTCCAGATCAGGTTTGCTACATAATCCAAAGTGATTGCCTGTTTCAGAGCACTCTGGGGACAGCAGCAGGCCCGGATGTCTGGACGAACGTGCCACTCAGCAATGAGATGGTGCATCTATGGCCATGTGGCAGACAGCAAAAATATCCTCACCCAGCTAATGCAAGGTTCATTGATTTAATGAAAGGAACCATAGGAGAGAGGCAGAGGCTGGAGACAGCTGGAAATCAAGTGAAGGCCCCGCAGAAGCTGCCACCCCATCCTCTGCATTCTGTTCTGCAGACGCGGCGTACTCCCTCCTGCCACCTTTTTTATTCCAGTTGTACTCCTGTTACCTCAGGAGAAAGGAATCTTTCCTTCTCAAACCTCCACCTTGCCAAGAGGTGTGGCACACGCCGTGGAAGAGAAGCCACATTCATGCTGAAGCAAGCTTTGGGCAACTTTCCCTTCTGCGGCAGGCTCGTGTAAGAGGCTTGTGTGTTCCTCCGTCCTGTGGCCATGGTGTTTGCCGCAGGACCCACACTTTTTGCCATGAGCCAGCCTCTGGCTTTTAAATCTTTGTCCATGTTTCTACTTCAAAGTTGGAAGAGCGTAAGTCAATTGTAAACCAAAGCGGTATTTTTTCCCAGCAAGGCAGCCTCTGCCCATGTCCTGGGGAAGTGCCATAATTGCAGGCAACCACATCGGGTTCACAAACTCACCTCCGTTTTGATGGTGGTTACATAACAGAGATAAGGGGACGGTGCCTTTGCTGGCATTGCCTGGTGCGCAGGATGCGCTTCCACATCACAAGATGCCATTATACCTCTGCAGTTCCTCTTTTGAGGGCCTATGGCAGAGCTCAAAGCGTTCCCCCGACAGCGAGCAGCACACAGCACGGTGGGGACACCGAGGGTGGGAAGCAGCACCTGAGCAAGATCTCATGTGCTGCCACGGCCAGGACAAAGGTCCCTCATTGTCTATCAAGGCAGTGCAGTCTATTGACCCAGACGTGCAGAACTATGCCAGAGGTGAAAGTCATTTGCTACAGAAAATAGACACAATTGCAGACCCGGACAGTTCTGACACTAGGAATGGAGAGAGGCACTGTGGCAGTGCAGTACGTGCAGATCAGGGCTCCAGCACCACGGTGTGAGTTGGACACAGGAACCCACTCGAGCAGTGCCTCCTGCCAGTAACATGCTGAAACTGGTCAGACTCCCCGTTGAACATGTTCTTGACCAAAAGACAGTCATCAGTTTGACGTGCAGGAGACACGTTGTCTAGGAGAAACTGTCTTTCAGTACACTGATGTCGTGCCTTCAACATGCACGCTTTATGTAATTAGTATTTGTAAAAAATGGGAAAATAAGAGGTAACATAAGTTGGATTTTTTTTTTTTTAACATCCAAGTTCAGGGAAATCCAGTGATTGATGACGCACTGCATGTGAACAGTAATTTTACAATTATCGATCATTACAGTCTAAGACTTCAATTTGTCAAAAAATGACATTGTTGGTCTCATTACAGCCTCTAGTGGACAGTAGTAATCCACTTCACGGACCTGTCATGCAATCTGCTCAGATGACAAGTGTTATCAAGGTGGGGGTTATGCTGAAAGAACGCGAGTACACCGCCGTGCTTGTCCCATGGCAAGAAGGATTTTCCAATATAGTCAAAAGTTTGCTGGCATTGCTCTGAAAGTGCCTTGCTTTATGCTTCAGGTATCAGTGCTGGCTCGTAAATAAACAGAGAACTTTGCTCTCAATTTCAATCTCAGACAGCTTTCATTAAAAAAAAAAAAAAAAAAAAAACAAAAAAAAAACAACTAAATTAATCTCAAATGTTTTTATAACAGAAAATATTGGTTGTCATGTTTTTGGCTTAACTATGATGTTCTTATTCCAACTCAGATCTGCAGACTGTCCAATCCACCTCCTCTCTATTTATAGCCTGCTTGCATTCAGATAATTTTTGCAAATGCAGTTATTTTCATTGTTATTTCAGACATAGACAGGCAGCTGATTTAAGGTATTTTAACAGCTTTAACGAATCAGAAACTGTAATTTGGATTACAGCTGGCTAATTAAGGTATGCTTTCCACTGGGAAGTTAAACATGTACACGACCTGAACAATAACATATTTAGAATGTATTCTTTAACTTGAAGTGCCACTTGTGTGAACACAATAACGTATGACTAACATCTTTATTTTTCTTGTATTCGCCTAGAAATGAGTGTATCCCTGTCAGAACAGGGAGGTCGATGATGGTCTCCAAAACTCTTAGCTGGGATTGTTTTCAGATGGAAGGAAATGAGAGTGGAGAACCAATGCTGTCTCTTTAAAGCCACAGTTATCTCATACAAATTAACATTTAGTGAAGCCAGAGCCAAGTATTCATGAAGACTAAGCAAGTATGTAGTACTACACTTCGACTCAAAGAGAAAACTCTATGATTTAAAATGCTGAGGTCAGAAAACTCTATGGTCTAAAATGCTGAGGTCCTTTGCAAGTGAATTCAAAGGAAAGGCTGCCATTGATTTCTTTACTGTATACAGATTTATTTACTGCGCCTGTGTATGGGCTGCAGGGTCACTGAACAAAACATTTTTGTCATATCTTATCAGATAGATAATGGGATATCAAGGTAAAAAATGTGTACCTCATCATTGTCTTGTTTTTTATAAAGAAGCAGTCAAGTTCTCCTTTAAAGTAACAATAGCTTCAATAGCTTTAAAATGAAAATATCTCCTTCAATGCAGATGTGACACAAGATGCTTTTTTGTTTGGTTGGTTTTGTTTGTTTTTTAAATAGAGAAAGCAGTTCATCAAGGGAACAAAAACTGATGACTCCTCTGAAGTCTTAAAATCGAGACAGGTTTCATCTTTTGAATATGTTGTCAGTTAGTTGTATGTCACTGAGGCACAAGGAAAAGCAGCTAAGCTACCAGTGGTGGCTCTGGGATGGACCACAGCCAAACCTAGCCCTAAATGCTGTTCCAGCAGTGACCAGTGGAAAATAAAAATGCTAAGTGCTTCTCTAGAGGTGCTCAATTGGTCTAGGCACACTCTAGTAATGACCACAACAGGTTGTCAGGTGCTTTGCAGCCTATGGTGTAAAGATGTCAGAGGTCTCCATAAAACTCTTGTGACACTGCCTTTAGCCCTGCAGGTGGTGTGAGCAGAAGGGTCAGGCAGGAGCAGAACCTCAGCTGCTGTCTCCTTCCTAGAAGCGATCACTTCATAGTGGGGTCAAAGTCCACCAGCAGGGAACAGAGAGAAGGCTCCATCGCGTGGAAAATTCTTGGCTTCCAGGACCGTCAAGGGACTGTTGTTAATGAGGATTAACATTCAACCAAAAGGAAGGCAAAGAAGTAATGAGAATTCACTGGCCACTTTCTCAGAGAGGGCTCTCTGCTTCTGGCAGGGAGCAGCCAGAGTCCACTCGAGTTGTCCCTTTAAGCCATACCTGGTACAGAGACTTATCTGGGAGTTCACTTGCCAGTTTTTTCTCTGTTACGGGCGTTATGGTCTAGACAGATTAGATTAGCATCTATCATGTAAACACTTTGGATTGGGAAATAACTCTTGTCCTTTCTTAAAGTGTTTTTCCTGCATATAAGGCAGTGTGGTTTGTAAAGCCTGTTACAGTCTCACTCATCAATACTATTCATATTTTGGTAAGCGATGTGAGTGTTCATGGAGGAGAAGGGGCTACAATGGGCTGTTTACCTGTTTGAACAGACTTAGGAATTGAAAACATGGATTTTTGACAGCTCAGTACTTTAACAGCCACAAGTGAGCTTTTCTGGTCTATTGAAGAAATCCATCCTACCTGGATCAGCACCCAAACAGACTTGCAGAACCAATATGCTTAATCCTGCTGCCAAGGCTTCACATTTTGTCCGTGTGCTAAAAATCTTTATGACATCTTTTATTGAGAAAAATGCACCATATGAATAACAGCTATTTTCTTCCCACATTGTCTCTATGTCTCCACAAAATAGGACACACAAGGGCCTTGGCCCCAAAGCTTTCATGCATATTCAGAACTGAAGTTTACAAAATTCAGCCAGTATTGGCAGATCTGGGCTTCTGCCTTGGTTTCAAGAAAGAGATAAGTGTAAGTTGCTTTATGTCCAAGACTAGAGTTATTTTGCACCTATCTTTTCACAGCAATGTTAAATGAAAGTCAATAACTAGCACTGTAGTAACCTAAAGCACAGTCAACACAATGCAATATATGTATCTTGTACACGGAAGAGAATGTGTTATATTTTCTTTGTTGTTGTTGTTGTTTTCAAAAGGTATTGCGTGCCACAAATCTGCAGCCACTTTGAGCACATTAACAAAGACTTAGAACAGTGCATAAACATCAAACAAAAATTTAAGTGGGATGGATAAGGGATGAAGCAATTGCAGTACCCTCTAAGACTTAATCCATAGTCACGATCAATAGAAAAATTTTCAGGCAGAGAAGGACTGCAGACATGACAGAACAGTCAATTGCTTGCAGGGTTAGGAAGTCCTCAGCCTGCAAGCCTTTGACCAACAAGGTAGGTAAGCACAGTAAACATTTACCTTGTATCCAATTACAAGTTGAAGTGGTGTTTTTCTAGTTTCTTCTACTGGGTCCTAAGGTGAGGATGTGGTGTCCTAAGGAACTCCAAAACTCTGTAATTTAAAAAAATGTCCTGAGAAAAGTGATAAGCCAGCAGTTATTTCAGCATATGTAGATTTGTTCAAAACTAGACCAGCACTGCTTTGACTTCTTACTATACAAAGGCAGCATCTCGCCCTCAGAGATCTTCCAGGTTCTCATGTTCTTTCTATACCCTTCAGCAGAGGCCTTCCTATAATAATTGTTCCCATCTTGGATAAAATGTCTTATCACGTCTCTCTCTTTCTCTCTGCCTACTTTTTCCACTGGAGAGTTTCCATTTGCACCTGTCTTTGTAACTTGCATCTGCTCTCATATTGTCCTCATATGATATCATTTATTTATTTGTACATAACGTAATGATAGACACCTATTCAAAGCTCTGGAGGTCTATTAGCACATAGCAATTACAAGAAAAACCACAACAGTGTGAAAGCAGTCTTCTCAACAGAAATTTAGCTAGCCATCCCAGTACATCAGGAACACCTGCTCCAAGGACATCTTCAGCCTTCTCCCAGTGTGTGTGTGTCTTTTGCCATGAGGCTTCTCCCATAACAATAAAATCCAAGTGCTTGTGAGCTGTACTTCCTACCATAGGGATTGTTCTGTCCTGGGGTCGAGTATAGCCAAAAGAGTGGACTGGGCACCTGGTGGCAGGACCATCTCATCACAAGCTATTCCCATGCAAGAGATACCAGTTCTTAAATGGTTCCTTGCTATAGATTTATCACAGCTCATATCCTCATTTTCTTTGTGCAGAAGGACATAATGGCCATACAGTGGTCCTAAGACAATAGTAGTCATAAGCAGATGCTTTAGTAGGCAAGGGCAGCCACATACTACTTCTTTCACATATTCCTCAGTCTTCTGCTATTTTCAGCTCAAGGACATCTCAAGTAGGATGTGGTTTCTGCCTAAACCTTGACAAATCTATCTTTCAAGACTTGTGCAATCTCCCCATGAGCACATGTAAACTTTATGCATCCACATCATGCTATGTCGCATTGCACGGGTCAAGTTCCTGATGCAAGAATTTTCTCTTTCTTTCTGCTGCATTCAATGCTCCTGGTTCTTGCACGGAGTCAGAGTGGCCAGTCTTTACCCACACTCTCCATGCTACCCAGACATCTCTCTTACTCCCCTTTAGTTGTCCTTCTTCCAAGTTGGGAAGGCCTAGTCTGTGCTGTTGTTACACAAACCCCTTTATTGAAGACATGACTGCATGTGGCACAACTCTAACCTGGTTTTGTCTTTCTCCATCTTGGTCTTAGTCTTGTCACACCTTCATTGCCTCTGTTCTTCTGCCTGTCAAATAGGGACCATAAAAATTAACCTGTTATCTTGCAAAACAGTGGTGACACAGTGGACTACAAGTATTTTTCCAAAAGCTTAGCCAAGGACTCAGAAAATCAACAATTCTACATATCAAGGACAAAAGAAAACAGTGTTAGTATAAACAAAAATAAAACCAGGATACTATCTACATTTTTTTCATACTTGTTGAGCAACACAGGCTGACTGAAACCCTTTCCATTTCACAAACTATCCCTGTCAACCAACCTACTCTGGTGTTAAAAATCTGAAGTGATAGGACATCTCCCAGCAACCTCAGGGGATTATTTCACATGCTGACATGCAGCTCAGGTCTGAGAAGTCTGAAATGCTACAAAAGTTGGATTACCCAGTGGTTTTCATATCATCTAATCTGTCTCTCCCCTTTCTTTCCACAATAAATCCCATTTGTTAGGACAGAAAAAATTAAGTCATTTCTCTCCCTTGTTTGGCCCATCGTCAGCTGAGATGTGTAAACGTGGTGTCAGCTTTAAGGTGTACAACTTGTCCTGTTGTCGTAATGATTCTGAATCACATATTTAAAGTTTACTACGTGCTTGAGGGTATGCCTTTGTGAACAAGTTATGGTGAGGCAATCAAGGGTGCGGTTTTACAGGACACTAGCTACTCTGCAGTAATTGCAAGGATGAACACCCTTTGCTTGCTGGTAAATGCAATATAAATTAGCCCAGAGAGACTGCCAGCTGTGACTACTTCTGCCACCCCACAAGTGCTTTTGCTGCTATTCTATGAGCACTGCTCCTTTTAGCTGTCCCTCCCCAGCAGTAATGCTATGCCCAGAATCAAACATGAGAGTTGCACATAAAACTACCATCCCCTACCCCCCCCACCAACACCTGTGGTCTTTTTATACATGATGATTTTTTAATTTAATAATTCACATTTTTAATTTAATTTAATGCAGTATTATTTTTTTGATTTATTTTCTTAATACATTGCTATAATCTTGCAAACTGAAGCCATATTTGCTAGGTGTTATCTCCCTTGCTGCTTTATGGCTCCAGCTCTTTTTATGTTTATATTGGAGGATACAAACTCAGCAGAGCCTTCGTTATTTATTATACCTGAGCCCTCTAGTTTTTGAACCCCTCTGTTTCCCTCTGCTGGTTAAAAACATAAAGAGGGATGGGGAACGTCAGTAGGGAGGGTGGGAAAGAGCTAGCAGTCCTTCAGTAATTCACACAGACAAGCCATGTGGCAGGAGGGGGCAGTGAAGACAGAGCTCCCCACTGCAGAGCAGCATGCTCTCATGTACACCCCAGAGATACCTCTGAGACCTGCGTTATTTTCACAGAGCATATATTCTTCGCAGGGTCCTAGGCAGCACTTATCAGCTGTAAAGAAATTCCTGCACAGTTTACAATCTGGGCAAGCATCCCAGCCCCTGTGTTGTCTCTCACTAGAGTCTCTACACAGTATCAGAGGTTCCCAGGAATGCTCCCAGAAGCTTTCAGCTCAGCCTGAGTCTCTGCCAAGCTGATCGGTTCCTCGGAGCTGCCTGGAGAGATCATCCTGAAGACTGCAGGGGGAGAGCTTGCGGGCTTCCCGAGAGTCCTGAAAGGCTGCATTTGTACAGGAGTCATGATCTGGCCTCCAAAAGCTCTTATCTGAACCAGGACATACTTATCTCAACCTTGCGCACACTTAAGGTCTCTCCAGTGAGACCACAATACACGCATGATTTCTGTAGCTGAAATAAAAGCCTTTGTATTGAAGTTACTCTTTCTGTGATTTCCTAAGATCATTGTTTATATTCTAGTAATCCCTCAGATCTCTAAATGAAGATCGATGCCCCTTTCCTGTTTTAACTAGATGCTCACAGCAGTTAGATGAGGCCAAGCTTTCTCCCCAGGCAGTTGACACAGGTCATGTGTCTGTAGTGAATGATGCACTCAAACAGTCCACTATTTGACACACATATCTCTGGGAACAGCTCTCTCTCAAGAAACAATTGGATTTTTAACACCAGCTGATTGTTCAGAAATAGCATATGATCAGTGGGGCAAAAAGGCAGATCTTCCCAAGGGAGAAATGACAACATTTTCTTATTTTAACATATGAAATTAAAATTTCCCGAAAGCAAAACAAAAGAAATTCCAAGAAGAGCAACCTAGCCCCTCTTATTTGTTCTTTGAAGAAACTTTACTTACTCTGGTTTCTTGTTGACTGTCTTGTTTCTTCTTGATTGTCTGGATGAGGAGCTACAAGACATGGTTTAGTGGCTTGTGGTACCAGTGGTAATGGGAGGATGGTTGGACCAAATGATCTTGCAGGTCATTTCCAACCTTGCGATTCTATGATTCTATGATTCTTAGGATTCACCCATCTTCCTAAATGTTAGCATTTTTAATGTTTTTTTACCAGACAAGATTTTCAGTGGGTTTCTTAAATTCCCGCACACTGTCTTCTCTCAGTCTACTATTCCTGTGGCTGTACTTTCCTTGAATGGCATATTGGATTCAGGTAGTTTATGGTCAACAGTTCCCAGACTCCTTATAGCGCTCCAATCTTCAGTGGAAAGAAAGGAAAGAAAGGTAAGCTGGGAGCATTTACCAGCTTGAAATCTCTGCTGTCTGGATAATGGAGAAAAAAAAAAAAAAAAGTTTTTTCCTTATTTCAGGACTTCAAACCCTAGCTGTATAATAAAAGTCAGGACCGCTACAGTCTACCAAAAATACATTTACCAGGGGAATGTTTTGGCTATTAGTTATTCCCCTTCAAACCCTTCCGACTGTGCGGTGTTGCTATTTTGCTTTGTTTTGATTTTTGTTCCTTTTTAAACTAACCTCAAGGAATTTCCCTCTCTCCCATCGTGGTTATCAAGCTGTAGCTTGTCGGCGGTGTAACTACTTGTGATGTATGATGCTTTCTTCTGCTCTCCTATGCTCCTTATCTCTGGTTAGCATTGATTAATGTCTCTTCCATACCAGTATTTCTGTCTGGAGGCTGAGCCCATTTGCCAGCAGTGCCCACCCGCTGACAGCCTCCACCACCCAGTGGCTGTGCTCCTGGGCCCTTCCCTACACTCCTGGTCAGGGACATTTGAAATGTAAATACTACCCTTCGTCTTCATCTTTTGTTTCGAGGATAAGACAAAACCAAATAATAATAAAACCTCCTCTATTTTGCACACAGGGAGCGCATGCCATTAATATTAATTAATTTATTTATTTCAAGCCGGTAAAAGAATTTGCTCTTAGGCTGGGAACGCGACTGCCAAGTTTCCTGCCTGCAATTTGTTACGGCTCAGTAGTAAACTACCCCTGAAAATAGGAATTTGAAATGGAAATACTGACGGGCCTTTTAACGAGGCTATAATAAGCAGGGTGCTTTATCCTGCGCGCTGCACGTCCTGACACAACGGCAGCCTATCATAGCATGCACGGAAAACAAACAGGGCCTCTCTGCATCGTGCTCCTGCCTGAAACCGGGCCGACGCAGGAAGCCAACGGAGCCGAAGACAAAGGCCCTGAAGGTCAAGCACACCACGCCCCAGCCTCACTGCTGCTGCTCAGCCCAGCGCCGCCATGCACACAACTTGCACTTGAATAACTTCCCTTTGATCAGCTTGCCATGAAAAAGAGGTGTAGCCTGCCACGCTGCTAGCGGGGTAAAGAAGCAGACTTTCCCATCAGGCTTAAGCTGCAAATTCATGAATCCAGGCTTTGCTCTGTTACATAGAACGAGGCTCCTAGAAGTGTCTGCTTGTTGCAAATGTTTCTTATCTGCTTAGAAGCGTACATTCCTTGTAATGCTCCATATGTAAAACATGTGGATGCTGAAGCTGGTTTGCATACCGGCTCTCGACTGTCCGCTGAAAATGCTGTTATTCAGTGAGGCTGAACGCTCACAGTCCCAGCAGCAGTCAGCTGAGCATCCCCAGACTGACACCTGTAAATGGCAGCACCACTGCCTCTTTGGAAATAAAACTCCATCATTTTTCACAAGCTATCTGACAGCCACAAAAATAACTGAATTGTTCGTATGAAACTCATTCTTTGGGACCTGAACTGCACACTTGTAGTCTGTAGGACACACACTTAAATGCCATATATTGAACTGCCACATCATGTCTATTTTTACTAATCGAGTTTGCTTGTGTTTGGGCACGGTACCAGCTACTCAGCAAGTCCAGGAGATTAATGTAAAAGCCTCTCTCCATTTAGAAAGTATAGGCACTCCAGATTTACAGCTGCTTATTTTGAGGTGGCTGACTGCTGATCCTGATGTCTTTGAGTAACAGATGGCTTTCCGAGCTGCGCTGATAATGAAAATGATATAATTTGTCACTTAGCATTAAAACAAAGAAGAGACGTAGCACGGAAGAAAAAAGCAACGCATTGCCTTCTTCAAATGGCATACCTGAGAACGAGGGGAAAAAAAGGCTGGGCAAACCCAAAGGCTACCAATAGTCCTGGATATTCACATGTGGAATAACTTGCATAAAATAACCTGTTCTGTTCTGGACTGTGAGAGCATTGGCCCCTGTAATGTTAGAATTTATAGCTTTAATCTTCTTAAGAGCTGCATGGCTCTTCACGCATGCAGAGAATACAGATTTGATGTTTCTGAGATTAAAACTACTGAGCTGAACTTTTCTTGTTATTGGCCAAAAGCATTTGGAAACTTAATAAAGCATTCCATTAAAATCTTGGCATTTTAGTGATACAAAAGCAATAGGCTGCTAGCTCAAAACGTGAGTCCGAGTCAAAAGGACACTTCTAGGGAGAGATTGCGGAATTTAGGTTTTAACAAAGTTTGCAATGACTTAAAAATAGATCAAAGGAAATGCGAAGTAGAATAGAACAATAAATGCTTGCTGTAACCAGCAATGCACAAGCCTTTGTTGTTTAAACTTCATGACATTTAAAGATGTTTCTTCATGTTCTTCTAAACCTTCCACGTCTGCGAGTCCATGAATAGCTGGAAAAAGTACAGCGCACATCAGCGACGAGCTGTGTGGTCTTTAACAGGTAACATAAGGCCTGATTTTTCACAGTGATGAGAATCCACAGCCTCAGCTGAGATAAGCATGAGCTACTATTACAGCTGTAGACAATCAGCTTTACTCTGGAAAAAAATGCTCTGTCAAGGCTTGCTAGGCTACAGTTTTAGCTGCATAGAAAGCCCGTGCAGAACACAGTTAAGCACCTATGCGTCAGTGCATGATTTGGTTTGATCAGTGAAGGTGCAACCGATGTTTTTGTAGAAAGAAGCAGAATAATCATAGCAACAGTACAGTGCTATGAGTTCAAAGCTGTAGCATGACTGGAAAAAGGTGCTCTTGCCAGAATTGGAAAAGCCTCATGCAGGTCCACGTAGGCCAGCAAGAGCAGAACTGCCCGGTGGCAGCTGCACTGCCAAGACTCTCTGTCCTTTACAGCAAGAGAGAGTGAAGAGAAGCCTCTCTTACTGCTGTGTTACTGTGCTCAGCAGGTAAACAAACAAACAAAATGAAATAAGGACTTATAACCAAGCATAAAGTAAACAAAGATTCATAACCAACCCTAAAAGACAGGTTTCTTGCTTGGGTTCATTGAAGCGGTTTGGAGTTGTTGGATTTTTTTTGTCACAAGGTAAACAACATTCATTCCAGCATGCTTTGAAATGGTTTGCTCCTGTCAGTACTGGCAAAGACAGCTATGCTGGAGTTTGCCTTCACATGGTTATATCTTATTTACATCTTCTAGTTACAGTCTCCCTGTAAGTTGTGGTACAGAGGCTGAACATACACAGGCTATCTCCTGGAAAGCTTGTGGTTAGAGCCTTGGGATGCCTGCAGTGATAGCTGGGTGATGGAGACAACCTAATGCCTACAAACAAATCTCACCCTGGATTTTACCCCACTCAGAGAAGCACAGCGTTGAACCTGAACCACATGGCTGGTATGAATGAATGCCACACACGTAACACAGGCTCACCCCGCTGTACAAGCCCCCTGCCTTTTCAAAATATATTTGCCTTTACACTGTTGAACGTTGCAGGGTACTCATAAAACTGGCTGCTTCTGTGGCTGGTTTGCTCTGTTTTTTGTGGCACTGACATATGATGAGCTATGTACGATAACAGATGCCATTTGACAGCGCAAAATAATGGCGCTCAGACTTAAAACTGTAAATTATAAACAATCCCTCTCTAACTATAAAATGAATACTCAGAATGGGGAGCCTTGTCAACTCAGATATTAGTAAATCAAGTTGAGGAAGACAAATTATTCACTGAAGCTGAAGTAACTAAAATTTTATTCGGTTAACACTACTGTCATTGGAGTTCAGCTGTTCTTTGCTATAATTAGTAGATAGGGAACAGAGTGATTATGGGCAACACACAGTAAAATCAGCTACATGTTTTTTGCTGTGTAAAAGCAACAAAGTGTTTCTAATCTTCTGTCCTGTGTTCTTTGTTTTTTGTTTTTTGTTTTTTGTTTTTTTCTGTCAGTAAAAAGATGCTGCATAAATACTTGCTATGGGTAAGATGCCTGGCCACATCAAGACAGCCATTTCCCAAGGGGTTTCATAATTATATTTTCCCCACCGAACCACAGACATGAATTAAAAGTGACCCTGTTGGCCCACTGGTGCAGCTGCCATGTATTTGATTACAAACTCACTGGTACCAATGCCAAGAAGGGGAGTTACAACACAAACTGAATGTGAGTCCAGGCTCAGCTGTCCGCACGGAGTGTCTCTGGTAACCTGGCCACAAAAAGGCTTTGAGCACACAAAGAAATAATATTTACAATTTTTTATCCTTTAAAGAAAATGCATTCCTCTGGTCTTCCCCATCTCTTCATGAAATCCCAGTGCACTGTGCCTTCCCCAGAAGGCTGTGCTCTGGGCTCAGGTAGCCTTGCTTGCAAGGTATTCAGCAACTCCTGGAGAACTTGTAACATTTCAGATCCAAGACTTCTTCAGTAAAGACTCACGGGGAGAATGGCCAGGGGGATATATACATCAGGGCATAAGCCCATCACTAGGCCTTGTATGTGCTGACATACAAAAATGCATACTGCTTATTTTTGGGCTGAGCACTGGTCTACATTTAATCACACTGGATTCAGGAGGGGAAAGGAATGGAGAATGTGATCCTACTATTAGCACCATCTCTGGTGCAATGGCAACTGTATGAGTTCACATCAGCCCTGACTCCTGGTGAGGTATGGGGCTAGGGCACAGCAGGACAGGACAGGAGAGGGGGTGGCAGCTCTGGAAGCCTTGGCCTGAGCCTGCTGGACATGCTGCTGCGGTGGTTCCT